GGAATCCTCCAAAGGTGAGAACTCTTCTGGTGGGAAAGGAGCACTTTGATCTTCTTAGAAGAGTATAAACAAATCAAGACTGACAATCTTGTCTGGCAGGAGAGTGCTAGCTCTCTGCTGCTTATTTAAGCCCCAGTTGGTTTGAAAAGTATCTCACAGAAAAACATATTCATTGCCCATTTCTGTTAGGCAAACATATTATCTCCACTAGAAATATACAGGAAGAATTTCCAAAGTGAATTCGTAACCAGGGATCATCAGCCAGAGATTTTGCCTATTACAATCAGCGCTGGGTCCTATCTTGGAGTGTGTAGTAGTAGGCACACAGAGAGCATAATGCTCCAAAATGGTCAAGCTGAGGTCAGGTCCAGGAGGGGCCGGGTCGGTGGGGCCCAGCAATAGGAAGTGTTTGGGTTCACGATGTGTCATTCACACCGGGGAGGACATCACGACTGTCATGGGATTGACAGGTATGCTCAAGAGCCTGAAAGATGTGAGTGGCATGAAGGAAAGCCTGCAGGAAGTATCTGTGGGGCGGCTCGTGCCCAGAACCTTTGCGTTACAGAATCAGCTTGTTCCCCTCAAAGGGAACAAGCATGCATGGCTGAGCCTCTTAGGAGCACAGACGGGTCTGGGAGCTGTGTGCACAGTCGTCATGAGGAACCCAGACCTACTGCAATCCTCTTATTGAAATAGCTCTACTGATTAAGCAATGGCTTTGCTAGTGTTTCAAATCCAAATATCATCTACTGAAGCCTCCTAAGAACAAGTGAACTGTCATGCTCCCAAGCTTTGAGAAACAGGGATGACCTGCTGTGTGAGAAAGAGGACTTGAAGCGTCACTATAAGTGGTCACACCACTGATGTTCAACCAAAAGTAGCTGTAGGATTTGTTAAGATACACTTCTTTTCTTCTCTGGGATGAGTTTTTCACATGTGACTGGCCTGGAGCCTTTTCTAGTGCCAACTACTACGAGACAAAAGTTTCAGATACAAAATCAATCTCATTTGCATACTCTAAAAATCTTAGCAGGAGGGGTTCTTGTTGGACACACATCAGCACTTGGCAGTCCTTCCAGCATGATTCACCTTGGATTCATGGCCAGCCTGCTAACCTTTGGGCTTTTCACCCTGTGCACACGACTGGCCTTGTTGGAACATCAGGAATACTGCCATCAGCATACTGAGGACTGGGCCATTTCGTCTTTATCTTGAGGTCCACAAGAAGCACTTATCACCTACTCAGAGGACTTCAGGGTGTGGGAGAATTCACCCCAGCAAGTGTTTTCCTTCCCTCCACCGTGGTGAGCGTGGTCCTGCCGCCCCTGCAGATTCTTAGGGAACTGTGGGTTCATGCACACATCTGCATCATATGGACCTTTTTGTTTTATCTTTCCATAATTTTATTGAGAAACAAATAGCAATGAGACAGTTTCAAATCAAATTGGTAGGACAGTTCCAATAATTAACACATTGCATACTCTCTTCCTAGTGGTTATTTGCTGTACAAGATGCAGACATGATATCCTATGTACAAACACTATTAGAATGAATCCCTCTATTCATTAAGAGAATATAACTATATATCGAGTGGACCTTTTCTAGTAGCTCCTTCAATTAAAATCCCATAAAGATGTCAAGATGGTCTCAAAAACAAGCCTAATTGGTTTGCCAAGAGAAGGAGTACATTATGCTGCATGTCAAACTACTTATTGCCCATTTGGGGGAGTTTCACAGGGTGTTGTTTTGCTTCTCAGGCACATAGCCAGGCTCTAACCATCACACTCCAAAACTAACTTTTGTGTCAAAAAACCTGTTGTTATTGAAGCATTTCTAAGTTGAGCAAAGGGACAGGCAGGCCTTCTACATGACATGGCCAAGGGCAGGTGGCTCAAGGAAGTTCCCCCAGGATTAGGGTGAACCTATCATCTGCTTAGTCTTATATATTGAATTCAGGGTTGGTTTTAGAGCCCTGAAACTGGGTCCTTCTACATCCTGAGAGGTATTTTTTTTTGTGTATGCAGGGTCTCACTACACAGTTCAGACTCATAGTGATCCTCCTGTTTTCAAGCCTCCCAGGGCTGGGATTACAGGCATGCACTACCATGCCCAGACTTGGTCGCCAGCTCAGTGTGCCCGGGGGCGTGGGGGGCTGGTGCGGCATGTGGTGCCAGGGATGGAACCCTGTCCCTGTGTTTGCCTGAGAGATATTTTAAATTTTTTCTAAGTATGGTAATAAATTCAGAAACAGAGCTGGGTTCAAGTTGGAAGGAATGGGAACTAGGTGGCCTCTACTCGACCTCACACTAAGAATCTCCTCCTGGTTCTGTCATTTACCACATAGGGATCCCAAGAAGTCTCCATGACCAGTAGGCCTCACATATCTGGTTGTAGGAGCAGTAGAAACTAACAAGTATATAAAACACCTGACAGAAGTTCTGACAAATAGGGAAAAAATGGTGATAAGCAGCTGGCACTATTGCTTTGACCTCAGACTCTACCACTCTTTTACTGAAAAATTTGTGTGTATTTCCCAGGGAAGTTTCAGTACATTAAGAAATTAAACAGAAGACCATAAAAAATTCTACTTAGTAAAAACTCCCCCAAAATGTTGTCTCCAATAGGATGTGTTCCTTGGTTAGATATTGAAGGGTCTGTGCTTAGACCAACTAATTCATAGCTTCTGAAAGTGGGTGAAGAACCATATTTCTCTCCCTGCCAACTTCTGTTCCGCTGGAACAACTATTTTCAAACATATTGGCATCACCAAAAATCTAGCCTTGGGGCCTATAAGGCCTTTATGGCAATGAGGCCTAAAAACCTGGCCATTCTAGTGACAAGGTCAGCTCAGCACACGCAGACGCAGGTCCAAGAAACTTTATGCAAAATTATATACCCTAACATCCCAACATCAATGTTCTTCAGAAAGGAAATAATTGAAAGCTGGCCCAGATTTCATCCTGCTATTATGCAGGAGAAGATGCTTGTGAACACTGGCAAGGGGCTCTGGAGGGAACAGCACTGGGTGAGGCTGTCATCTGACGTTCTGTGTAACTAAGTGGTCAGTGGGACTGGCCACATTCTCCTGTTTATCTCATAAGAGTGTATGAGCCACAATGGGCTCAGGCAGAGAAGTTGTGTCAGAAAAGCAGTCACCTTGGCACTGCAAGACCCTGTGAATATTCCCAGCAGACAGGCAAGCACCTGGTCAGAGACATAGGGCCTTACTACACCTGCGAGACACCTTTATTTCTCAAGAAATCTTTGAAGTTGTTGGGCATAAATCCCTTGCTTTCTTCCCTGTGTAGGACCACTCTTCTCATCAAGAGATTGCTCACAGTTTCCTGCATCATCTCCAAGCACTGCTCAGAGCAGTCTTTTGTGCTATCTGGTTGTCACCTCAGGCCCAAGACACCTCATCTGGGGGTCCAGCCCTGGCTACTTTGCAGCTGCACGAAAGCCAACTTCTGTAGATGGAACTGCACTGACCCCAAGCCCCAAACTTCTGTGGCTCAGCACACACCTGTGGCTGTGCTCTGCTAGATGCCACCCTGCAGGGCCCTTTCACATGTCCCTTAGTTCTCTGAGGACATCTCTGTATTTTTCTGATATCAGTGATACTCTTGGTATCCACCATCTTACACTGCAGATTGGATTCCGTTCTGTGTGGTGTGCTCACGTCTCCAGCACAGACACAAGGCCTTCCGAAGGGCATGTGCGCAACAAAGTTCAGAGGTGAATGTGCCTGTGAGCAGGTGGGGCTCTTTATTGACAACAAACTTCAATTACATGACAGAAAAAAGCAAGCATATTCAGGTGTACATATATCTTAATAGTATAGAACAATGGGGGAAAGGAATAAGGAGCTAAGGGATGATTTTCAGTCTTCTCCTTTTTTCATAGTCCATCTTACTTGATTTAACCATTCTACACATTACAAGGTTATTTCTTATTCCAAACCTTTCTTATCACAAAGAAGATGAAGTTTCTCAGTTTTCTGCACAAAAAGGAAGACTCTTACACTGGAATGGAAAAGCAAAATCTATTTGTGATCAACATCACATAAAATCATATTTGCATTAGAAATCATAATCAGCTATACTTATCACAAAACTAGAATTACATGTAACATCAACACTGTTCTGCAAATAAAATGTGCAAGCTACTTTGACCTTATAAAGCAGGAAAAAGTTTTCAAAAATCATAAGCAAAGCAAGTGTTAAGTTTCCAAGGAATCCCAATAAAACAGGCATCAAGGTGGTATACGCTGCATTTCTGAAATCTTCCTCTAGCCCATCATGCTTAGGAAAGTGCCAGGTCTCCTTAAGCAGAGACTGAGGAACCGTCCTCACTTCACAATAGCTAAACTACTCTTGCGCCTTGGGAAAGCGCCACGCCCCTCGCATCCACTTTGCGCATTCAGGGCCACTGGCCATGTCTTGTTCCTCTCTCAAGGCCTCAGCGTACAGAACTGGGTAAGACCTGGGATCTCGCCTATGAAGCCTGGCCAAATGCTCGAGGAGTTTCATCTTGCTGGTTTCAGCATAGGCCCTTGGACCCCACAGGAACTCAAAGCGAGGAGGGTAACTATTAGGAATCTGCTGATATTCCAGGTAACGTTCCCTTATCAAATCCACAGTGATGAATTTCCAGGGCTCCCCAAGTTCAATATTATCTTTCTGGGCTAACATCTTCCTCATTCTTAGTACCTGTGCTATGTCCTCCTCACTGGCACGGTTGCCTTTTATGAAGATGATGGTTAAGATGACTATCAGGATACTGATTTGAGGAAAGCTCTGATAATCATCATCCAGTAATCCATTGTAAGTGAGGCCCAATAAGGGGACAAGGACATACTTGTGCTCAGGGGAATACACTTCCCTCATATCGATGCCAAAGCCCAGACGCATGCACTCACAGAAATCCCTGAAAATCAGGGGGAACTGCTCACGGTAATCATGGTGTATAGCATGTAGCATTTCTTCCATGGTGACCTGCTCACTCTTTTGATACTTGCCGAGCAAGAATGGCACCAATTTATCTAACTTGTCATTTAGAAACACATGGCGCAGCATCTGAGGCAAGGTCATGTCCTGTGAGGGCCTTTGGTCCTTCACTTCTTGTCTGCTAGAGCTCATAATACATTGGTTCATTTCACTAGATTCCCTGGCAGCTGGGGGAGACAAAGTGCCCCGAGAATTCTGAGGACAGCTTGGTGTTCCAAGCCCCAGCCTTTGTTTTGGTCTGGCCCCCATTTCCTCATAGGACAAAAAAGGTGCAGAGGAAGTGGTGGCTACTGCTTCCTCCACCCTATCCATGGGGGCCTGTGCACCCATGGGAACCTGTGTATTTCTCTGGGTTGGATGGCTTCCCCCTAGCTTGTTGGGTTTCCCTTTTTGACCATAGGGCATCATGATGTTCCGTGGAGACAGCAACCTTGTTGTTGAGGACTCAAATCCCTGGAGGAGAAAGGGAAACTATTAATATTCTCAGCTCAGAATCACATACTTGTCTCCCACAAGGGCCCATTTCAGGTCTTTTGCCTGTGGGATGCTCTTGGCACCACAAGACCCAGTCCCCATGATCCTGGGATATGAAATGAGACTTCATTTCTGGTTGTAGTTGAATTCAGAGAACAAGGCTCGAGGGAAGACAGTATGGCATAGGAAGCCTGGGGACTAGGGTAGGGAAAACCTTAGGGTCACAACAGGGCATGCACCTCACCTTGACTCCTGACACTACCTGGCCCTCTTCTGCTGAGTGGGCCGAGGACACTGCTTCACAGCACCTTCACCCCTGGTTCCTGGAGCTCCTGTAAGAGGCATGGAGGCTCCTCAGGCTACAGATTTCAAGGACAATCCAGCTGCCCCAGCCCTCACAGGATGGGTGGACTGGATTTGTGAGCTCCACTCTTTTCTAGGTGAATGGTCACCTCTATGCTTGCTGAAGACCATTGCAAACTCAGAATAGTGCCTCATTCTTGATAGGTGGCAAAAGACACCAAGTGACACATCTGGCCACAGCTGCCTGGGGGCAACAGATGGCATGGGCAAGTTCAATGGAGTCCATGTGTCCTGGGAAAGGGAGCCTGTTCCATCTTTATCTAAACAAATCTCAAAAGGATAGGTGTATGACTCTCTCTGCAATGACTTGGGACTTCCCTCTTTAAAAACATACACTGAAACAGGAAGTGATGGACTGGGAGTATACCTATGATTCCTGCATCTGACTACTGGTAATCAAAGGGACGCGCTGAGGCTAAGATAATCTGTGTTCAGGTGAGTGGATTCCCTGTACCTCATCTACACCATTTATAGACCCTGGATCCGACTTGTGCTGTCCCAGTTCAAGTCCACTTATACCAGGGCCTTCACCTCACTAATAGCAGTCATACAGACCTAAGAGAGCAGACTCAGCTTGACAACCCTGCACAGGCTGCCTGGGATGACAACGAACATAGGTCTGATGTCAGAAGAGCACACAATTGTTTGTGTTCAGGTCAGGAGTGCACTAAGCCCTTATGGTCCTCATCTTGACTGTTTGCAGATATGGGAACTGTGTGGCTCCTGACCTGGTGGGGGGCCTCCCTGTGCTAAACTGAAGACAGCATCTCAGGTGGAATCCATTACTTCCTTGAAATCCTCAGGATTCTCAGAAGAAGTGAGCAGACACCCAGCATGCACCCCTACAAGGAACTTCAGCGCTGACAGCAAGATCTCTGCTCATTTCTCTTGTGATGCCAACCTGTTACGCTGTAGGCCTAAATTTCTCCTAGTCCCATGGGATCATAGGGAAGCTGTCTAGGACATAATTGGATTATGGAGCGAGGCTTACAGCTGACCTGTTGTTAGGTGGTGGGGCCTGGTGGAAAGAGGCTAACTGTGGGTGTGACAAGGAGGTTATGTCTTCCTTCCTGGCTGTCCCCTTTATCCTTTGCTTCCTGAAGGACTTCTAGTGAGCACCTCTCTTCCTACCAATATCTTCTACTCTGCTGTTCTGCCTTTGGTCTGGATAACTATGAACTGTAACCTCTGGAAACTGTGGGCCCAAATCTTCCACTAAACTGCTGGTGTCAGGTACTGTGTCTTAGTAATGAAAATATACAAAGGTATCCCCTAGGTGCTTCTACAGGTTCTCAATTTTCCTTCTTTCAGTGCTGCCCTTGAGATGAGTTGATCTCCCATAGTCCTCATCTCCAGGGAGCCTCCCTTCTGCCCCATGGCAGAAGTGAGCCTGCCAATTATAGCCTCCCAGGACTGATACGGAGAAGAGGAAGACGCTGTGGGATCTGTTGTTTCTGGGCTGCAGATAGCATCAGTCTGCAGAATGGGCCCATACCTTGGGTCTGTACACTCCTGGGGTCCTCCACTCACTAACCATGTATAGCTCCCTTTACTGGACCACAACTCCATGAGTTTTCCCAAGTGTAACCACTAGCAGAACTTTCAGCAATTTATATGCAGCCACTGTCACCAGGAACTCCACCCCAATGACAGGAGGAGCCAGGCTCTGTGGGGTCCATTTGTTTATGGTAGTAAGTTACCGTCAAAGCTTCAGGGCTGGAAAGCAGCACAGTGATGATCAGCAGCAATTGAGAGGCTCCAAGATTTGGAATTGACAGCCTGGAAAATCACAACTGGGGGAAAGGAAAAAAAAAATAAACGAGAAGTAGATCACCCAGAATGTGGAAGGAACTGATACAAATCTTGCGAACTACAGAGATTTCTTTCAAGAAATGAAGGAAACGTGTGAAAGGAATAATTGAATCGTCCCTATTTGCAGATGACATGATCCTCTACCTAAAAGACTCCCAAAACTTTCATCATAAATAATCAAATTTAGCAGTGTAGAAAGTTACAAAGACAACATAAAAAACAACTGAGTTCCTTTATATTAGTAATGAACTCAGAGAAAGAACAGAGGCAAATGATACATCTCACAATAGCACTGAGAAAAATAAAGTACTGATTAACCTAACCAAGGAAGTGAAGGGTCTCAACTATGAAAATTCCAGTAGGTTGAGGAAGATAGTAGGAATGGGGAGCTTTCCTCTGCTGGCAGAACCGACAGAGTCAAAATGGCCATACTTCCAACACTGTTATACAGATTTAACATGCCTCAGTCAAATGGCTACCTAGAAGGAATCAATTAATAGTAAATACAAACTGAGCTGTGGGGGGAAGATGAACACTTCTTTATTGTTGGCAGGAATGTCAAGTGGATCTACCAGTGGAAATCAGTATGGGGATGATTTAGGCAACTAATGCTAAACGTTACATTCAACTTAGATATTCGTCTTCTAGGTGTCTTCCCCTGAGAATTAAGGACATCATGTCACAGCATTATATGCAAACCCATGTTGAGAGCAGCACAATTCACAGTGGCCAAATCTTGGAAGCAGTCTATATCTCCATTAAGACATGGATGGATAAAGACAACGTGGTATATACTCAGAATGGAGTACTACTCTGACAAGAAGGATAAACGTCAGTCATTTAAAGGAAAACAGATGCAGCTAGATGCCACACTGTTAAATGAATTAATCAGACACTCAAGCTTAAATGTCACATGGGATATCTTATACTAGAAACTCAAAATATAAATAAGCAGCAAAATGGAAGTTGAATAATATGAAGTAGTGAGATCTTCAGCATATCAAGAGGAAACCAAGAGATGGAAAGAGAGAGGAAAAGGAGCAGGAGAAAAAACATCAGATAAAAGAGGGGGAGAGCTGGGGAGATAGTTCAGTAGAATACGCGCTTGCCTGGAAAGTGCAAGGGCCTGAAGTTCAATCCCCTGTTCCACCAAAAAAAAAAAAAAAAAACATAAATAAAGGGAACTGGAAACCTGTACACACACCAAGTCCTTGTGAGGAATGTGATCACTGTGTAGTATTGTATCGTCCAACAGAGGCAAGGATGGGGAGGAAAGAGAAGGAAGGGAGATTACAAGAAGAATGAAGGCTGGGGAGTTAGCTCAGCAGTATAAGCGCCTGCCTGGCAAGTGCAAGGCCATGAGTTCAATCTTCAGTGTCAAAATAAAGAAAAAAAAGTGAACATATGCCATCTGCTTGTATCAAGTCCCACGAGGCCTGTAATTATTATGTATTGCAAACATGTAGCAAAAGAAGAGGCTTCAGTGCTCACCCAGATTCCTCTCCTTGATTTTCAGAAGATCCTGGCCTGCTCCCTTTGTAGAGCGGGTGTGGCTTCTCTGACAGCTGGTGAAGATCCTCGCAGCAAGGCCCACTTCCCTGAGACCAAGGAGACAAAAGCACAACACATCTGCACACCTCTGTAAGGGTTTCCCCAGTCTGACAGAGGAGCAGAATCCAGAGGCCCTCCCTTTGCCTGATGCAGACCCAGATGTTCACATTACCCTGCTGCTGACCTGAGGCTGCAATTTAAGGCCACCATCTCCCTAGGACAGTAGAGGTGGAAATACTGGGTAGGTGACTCTTCTCTAAGGTCCTGCCTGAGGCCAGGGGCCTGCCAGTAGGGGCAGGCTTCTCATGTCTTGAATCTGCTGACCTGAGGCCATACCACTCAGACCAAGACCCTGTCCTTTCTGCCACCAAGAGCCAGGGGCAAAGGTGCACTGCAACCCCCAGGGGCTCACAAATAAGTGGAGGCCCCCCTCTGGTCTACAGTATAATTTCTCCTCAGCAATCCTCCCTGTAGTCCTCCCCTAGAGTCTGGAAATAACCCCATCCCTCCTGACCTGCATCCTCTTCCCACAGATTTTAGGTAGGCATGCAGGACAGCACTCAGCCTGAAAGAATGCACAGGCTGAGTCCCATCTGTCATGTGTCCTGGTCCCTGCAGTCTTGCCTCATCTTTCATTTGACTGAGTCAGGGCCTGTGTCTCTCCATTTCCCCTGAGGCATTACTTCTTCAAAGACCGTAGGGTTCCTTAGGCATTGTTGAAGAAGTCAGAAATCCCCTGCCTTATGACACTGCACTGGGCTTCCCTGGAATCTGAACAGGGACAGGTATCTATGAGCACCTCCCTTCTGGAGTGTAAAGCACCCCTTCTGTGCCAAAGCCTGTTACCATTCTCAGGACCTCACACATGGAAATGAGGAAACACGCATCCCAGCACCATGCCACGGGGTTGCCAGGCCTGATAATGGTCAGAGAGGTCACCTGTAGGGCTCCTCTAGTGGCATGTGGAGGGGCCATCCTTCTTTCCTATGGGTTTGGAACTTGGTGGCCGGCAGAGCCTGAATGCCCATCTCTGTCTACATGAGTGTACCCACACCCACCAGAGCTCTGAATTCCAGGTCCTTGAGGCCAAAGTGAGGAGATGCTCGTCCTGACAAGCTTGCAGCCCTGTGGTCCAGGTCTGACAGGAGAGATGACTCTGGGTTGTTCAGAGACCCTCTCTCTGGGATGGGGCTTCCTCCGGTCCCTCAGGACCTCACCTGGACATCAAACAGGCTCTCCCTGCTCCCCTCAGCTAATCAGTAGAACTCAGAATAAGGCTGTCATCTCTCTCTGACCCCACAGACTGAAGTCACTGGATGCCATACACAGTATCTTGCAGGGGCCATAACGGGGCTGAGAGGAGGTGCTAACAGAGATTGTTTCACAGCCCTTCTCTACTCTCTTACCTTAGTAACTTCTAAAGGCAGGACTCTCTTTCTAGACCTACCACAGTATGTCCCCCCTTCGATAAAGAGTCTGACACAGAGATGTCTAAGGCACAGAGGCCACCATGAGCTTGGGAGTGGAAGTGGAGTGTCCTGGCAGGAGTGTCCTGGGTACAGGGCTGATAGCACAGGCAAAGATGTATGAAGTGGGGACCCCAACCTGGCTCAGGGCTTCCACACTAACCCCCAGCTCCTCAACCTGACCTTGCCTAGCCCAAGGACACTCTACTTTTTTTACCTTAAGCAAGGGCCTCAGAGCTAGGCTCTTAATTCCACAGGTTCCCTGACAACAGGGGTGCTCACCTGAGAATATCCACTGCACAGTGCAGTGATGCCAACAGCAACAGCAGATATGAGACAGTTCCACACTGTCAGCCTTGGCTGGGTCTTCCTCTCTTCCTCTCGGCCCCTGAACTTATCCTAAGCAATCTTGAGGCCTGTCTTCTCAGCCCACCTGAAGGGCAGACCTCAGAGCAAGGCTCTGATGCCCAGGTCACCTGTGGCAGATGTGACTGAGGGGCCCATCCTATCACATCTGCTTCAGTGTGGTGCTGGTCATATCTACTCTTGTGTGTGTATGGCGTAGGTAGACCTGGATTTTAGGGGAAAGTCTAGTGAGTTGAGGCTTCAACAGTGGCCCCCAGCCTCCACTGTGACCTACGTGAGCCCAGTCCTCTCTGTTGCCTAGACCTGAAACAGGTTTCAAAGCAAGGCTGTGTCTCTCTTCTGGTTCCCTGAGGCAAAAGCAGAGGGTGTCCTGAAAATTCTCCCCTCTCCCTTGGGTGCTGGGCTGTAACCAAGGCAGATCTGGGTTGTTTGGGGACCCAAAGCCTTCCTTGGGGCTTCTTCACTGTGCCTCAGGGTCCCCCCATGACCTAATTGAGCCTTGGACCTCTCTGTTCCTCCCACCCAGGCAAGTCCTAGAGAAGTAGGCTCTGAATCTCCTCCACTAGTGCCCTGAAGTGAAAGGAGTGCTCCTCTGAGACATTTTCCGCTGGTGCTAGGCCAACAACAGAGGCAAATCTGGATTACTTTGGGGACCATCTCTCTAACTTGGGGTTTCCTCATTCTGCTGTCTGATCCTGCCTTGACCAAACTGACCTGAGTCCCCTTTTTTGCTATCACACACACGAAACAAAGTGCTTAGAAAAATGATCCCTTAGGTCACAGGGAGGACACAGGGGACACTATCCTGAGAATTATGTACAAAGCAACATAGACTGCTAACAGGTTTTCCTAGAAGGTTCCAGGACCCTCTGTCTGGAAAGGGATTCCCTCAGTCTTCCCACACCTGGAGTTAACTGAGCCCAGGTCTTTTCCACTTCTCTTATCTAAACCCTGAACCTCAGAACAAGGCTCTAACTCTGCAATCTATGTCCACTAAGCCAAAATCAAACCCCTATCTGAGAATTCTTCCCTGAAGTTCAGGGCTGACAACACAAGTATATCTGGATTGTTCCAGGTCCCCTTCTCTGGGATGAGGCTTCCTCACTCCCCACACAACCCCTCAGTGTGACCCCATAATCAAGTCTAGCCCTCTTTTCTTTCTCACCTGAAGCACGTAGCTCAGGACAGGACCTCACGTCTCACTGAGCGAAGAGGTAGCAGTGAGTAGACATCCCGTCTGAGAATATTCACTGGTCTCTCAGGGCTCACAGCAAGAGCAGACAGGAATTCTCCAGGCCCCTCCCATCTCCCTAGGGATCAGCACATTGGCTGTTGGTTGAACCAGTATCCTCGTCCTCTGTAGACCTGATTCTCTTCCTGACTGGCCAAGGCGCTCCCTTACAAAGTTCCCTGAGGCTGAAGCTCATTACAACAAACTGGCCCCTGTGTGGCTCAGGATCAACAAGAGGGGAAGATTTGGATAGTCCAGGGATCCTCTCTCTCTGGGTTGAGACATCATCCCTCTCCCCACAGCCCATCCAACTGATCCTAGGCCACTGTGCTCCTCTCACCTGAAGCCTGAAACTCACAGTAGGTCCTCCTGTCACTCTCACCGAATGGGTCAAAGTGAGTGGGCCTCACATCCAGTGATGTGCCTGAGGTCTCACATCCGCGGTTGAAGGGGGCTCCCCATCCCCAAACTTCCCTAGGGATCATTACCTTGAGTCCTGGCAAAGCCTGGATCCCCATATTATATGTACCTTAAACTATCCTCCTTAGACCAAGAGCCTGACTCTCAAGCTCCCCTGAGTGGCAATGTGGTCTCACTTGAAAACCCTTCTTTGAAGCGCAGGAATGACAAAATAGAATATCTGGATTATTTGCTGACACTTTCTCTGCCATGAGGTTTCCACCCTACTCCTTCTGCTCTAGCCTGCATCCTAGCCTAAATAAGCTGGGGTCCTCTCGAATTCCCTCATCTGAAATAGCACCACAGAACAAGGCCATTTCCCTGATTCCAAGGGCTGGCAGTTAATTGACATCACATCCATAATTGTGCCTGAGGCGCAACAAGAGGGGAATGACCAGATTCTGTAGGCCATGTGCAGCCTTTCTAGAGGTTTGCACTTTGGTTCTTGGCACAGCCTAGGCCTACATCTTCCATGGACCTGAGAATGTTCACCTCACGGGAAGACTCTGACTCCCAGAGTTCCCTGGGGTAGAAGGGAGGAGATCTTTATTTGATCATAGAGTAACTACTATTACCATACATGCTTTATTCCTGCATTTTCTTTTCTATTTCTACTGCTTTCTTTATGCTGTATTAAATAGTACTTAGTTTGAAAGCCAGTCTTCACCCCCTATGGTGGGTTTAGACTGTCTCTATAGTTATTAGCACTATCTTCATTTTCCTGCTGTCTTCACATTACCCTGGGGTCACTGGCATCTCTGGTATGAGGTGCTGCTGCAGGCTGAACTGTGTTGCAGAGATGTTTACAAACTCCTCTACGGAGGCGCTTAAAACTTTTTTTAAACTCACGCTGTCATGGGCCACTTATGCAGGCCTCATTGTAGACCCCAACTTCCCTACCCCATCCAAACACAAGTCCCACATCACCAGTCCTCAATCTCCCCCAGGGATTTTACAGGTTTTGATGTTTTCTTTTATCTGCTTTTGTGTTTGCTAGGTTTCATTCCTTCACTTTTCCATAGTTTTCTAAGGTGAATTCAGGAAGCAAAAGGCATTAGCTAAACTTGTTTGTTATTTTGTGCTCTTCTGGTAGGGCCCTGTGTTATAAGGAATTTAAAGAAAATTGAAACTTTTACTTTACTCTTTTTCCTTTCAATAAGTATGACACAATTATCTATTTATATTAGGACCTTTTTACCTGGATCTGTTTGTAGAGTTTCATAGTTGTGTCTATAAAAGTTAATAAATTTGTAAGATTTTTGATATTTCTAGGTTTTACCTCTTGTTAAATAAGTTTTAAACATTTAATCTTGCATTAAAATTTAGTTATTGAGACTAGTGTTTACTATGTTGAATGAAATAAGCCAACCAGAAAAGACCAAGTACAGCAAGTTCTTTCTCATATGAGGAAGCATCAAAACAGTCCATCTAAATGTACCTCAGTGTTTACTAGAGGCTGAAGGGTGTGGGGACAGTGGATACTGCGAGGCTGGCATTGGTTAGTGTGCACTGTATGCATGTGATAAAATATCACACTGAACTCCCCCATTGACAAGTATAATTTACATACAATCAAAAGTATAGTAACATAATTTAAGAAAAATAAAAAAGTACTGAGTTTCTACCTGCTAACTTGCTCATAGAGTTCAAATGTGAGAGCTGACAAAATCACAACATTTAAATCTTTAAAATGTTCTGGTTCCTGTTTGGGGTCTTTCTGCAAAGATAAATTATTATGATCTACAACTAAAATGTCCCGCATTTTGAGGAGGGACCTGTTGGAAAGGCGCGGGTCACTTGAGGGAGCACTGCAAGGTATTCTCTGTCTTTCTCTCTTCTTCTTGGATGAAAACTATGAACCAGAATAAACCCCTCTTCCCTTCACTTGTGCTTGTCAGATATTTTGTCCCACTGATGAGAAATCTAAGAGAGAAATACCTACATATGTATTAATAGATGCAGACGGAACATAGGCTGACACTTACTCTTGCATAAACATTCAATTATTTCAGAACTTACTTGGTTTTTTTTTTTCTGGAACTGGGGATTGAACTCAGGCCCTTGCGCTTGCTAGGCAAGCACTTATTCTACTGAGTCAAGAACTTACTTATTTTAAAGCTTCTCTTTTTTCTCCTTTGATCTCCACTTACATCCTTACCAAAATCAGTTGTTGTATATGGAGATATATTTGGATCTTTTCCTGCACTTCATTCCTGTATTTCTACAGTTATTCCACTGTTTTATTGTTTGTTACTTTAGACTTCTTCAAGTAGGTAACGCTTCCAACTTTGTTCTATGTTTAAATGTTGTCTTTGGATCCTTTGCTTTTTATGTGAGTGTTAGACTGGAAATTTTTTATTTGGATCCCACTGAATACATTAAAGTATTTGAGAAGAGTTTAATTTCTTAAAATAATTAATACTTTGATGAATGAACAAGGCTTATGTCTCTATTTTATGTCTGTCTTTCTGTCTTCTTTTGTGGTACCAGGGATTGAACTCAGGACCCTGCACTTGCCAGGCAAGTGCTTATTCTACTGAGCTATCTCCCTGGCCCAAAATTTGAGAAGGAGTTTTTTATTTTGGCTACATCAGGCTGTCTTAAGGGCAGGTCTAGTACAGCTTCTGGAGCTGGGAATGGAACTGTGGTCCTATGTGCCTGATTGCGTTTACCCAAGTGGCACATTAAACAACTGAGCTATCTGGCAAAGTTCCCTCTATTTTTATTTTCGTTATTTCATCTTTTCAGTATATTTTTAAATGCATGATATTTTGCAACTTTGGTTAAGTTTATCTCTCTCAACTTGTACTTTCTAGTCTTACTTTAAATCATACAGTTGAATTTCAATTTGCAGAGGCTCATTAATAGTACAAAATGCAATACACTGATCATATATCCAATAACATATCTAAACACAATTATTAGTTCTATAAACATTTTGATAGAGTATTATGCAGATACTTTCTTATTTTCTGTAGTTATACTTCTCCCTTTCTAATGTATAGGCCTTTATAAATATTTTTTGCCATTAAGCAGATATTGAACAACCACACTCAATCTTATCCTATCTGTGAATTTATCATTTTTAATTTCTTATTGCTGTAGCCACTGTGTAAAATGGTGTGGAGATTTATCAAAATATTTCCTATGTGCAAACATCTTACATACGTTGGGCACATGACTACCTGCCTCATGTCCCCCATACTGTTGAAACCCAAGCCTTGGTATTACACCTGCTGAGACACGTAGGTCTCTTAGATTGTAAACAAGATGAGGATACATATTGGAATCCGGTATTTTTTTCAGTGGAATCTTAAGACAGAAAAGCCAGTGATTTCAAAATTAAAGGATTCTAAGTGAACACTGAGAAGATGAAGTGGGACTGAATGTTGTTCCCTAGTAGTAGCCGCTAAGAGAATTTACTTTGAGGTGCATAGAAGAGTTTATAGGAGAGGGCTCATCTACAATTCTCCATACACTTAGCTGAGTCCAGCTTAATGTTGAGGGATATTAGATACCAAAACAAAAACTAGGTAATGCAGTGAGGGAAAATAGAATGCACTGGTGAATCTGGTGGTTGTCTGAAATGTGTGGGGGGAATATCCTCTCCCTGGAACCAGGCATGCCTGTAATCCCAGCACTCAGGAACTGAGACAAGAAGATCTCTATGAGTTTGAGACCAGCCTGGGATTTACAAAAATGAGCACAAGGCCAGCCCAAACTGCATTGAGAGACCCTGTGTCTTAAAAAAAAATATCCTCTGCCTTTCGTGTTATTCACTGTACTTGAGCTTGGGCAATGTGAAGGGTGGCAGGTCAGTGTGCAAGGTTCTTTTGCAGTCCTTAGAAAATTCCTCCTTTCCCCACGCAGACCATCTGGGCCACTTCCTTAGACTTCTGTCCCTGTGCACCTGTCCAGGTGATGCCCAGGGATAGATGGGCTGGAGTGGAGCTTCTGACCTAACAAGGTGCAAGCTGTGTCCCCTTGGGGAAGGGAGATCAGGATCCCTAGTGTAGTGTAGACCACTGCGAGGCACTGCCATTGCAAAGACGGACAGAAAACCAGCCCTGAGGAGGTTTATGGGAAAATAGAGGGCCCCTCCTTAACCTACGTCCAAATCAAGTGAACAGACTCCCCCACAAGCTCTTTCCTGCCAAGACTTTTGCGCTGTCATCAGAAAATTTTCACGCTTTCTGTATGATGAGACTTCGTATTTTGCTTCTTTGTTCATAGGAGCCTACTAGAAATCCACCAAGTATTAGTAACAGTGTTCTTCCAACAGCTACTGTATCGTTGCAGTATCTTCTTACTTAACTAAACCAAGAGAAGAGTGTTATACATTGTCTATTTTTCATGACTGTTCTTGACAAATAAACATGAGTAAAAAGTGAGGAAAAGTAAGAGTAGAACCTGTCTCCTTCAACTTAAAGGAGAAAGGCTGGGAAAGCAGTGAGGCCCGCAACTTAATTTCCTCTTTCACACTGTCTCCTCAGTCATCAGTGAAAAGGCCTTGTGTTTTTGCATGAGTTCGTAGGTCTGAGTAGCAGAGAGCAACATAAGGGCACAGACTGCCAGAACTTA